AAAATACTTTAAAACCTTGAGATACCACATGCCAACCACAAAAATGTTATCAAATCACAAAATTCAGTTATTCAAAAAAATAATACCACTGGTTTCAGTTTAATATGTTATTGTGTTCTTGCTACAGCCTCTTGCTGCCACCTCAACTCGTTTGATGTTACAGATACATTATTTGCAAAGCACAGTCACATGAGCAAGCAAGAGGGAGTGTCATCCATATAACAACAGAAAAAAAAAACAAAAGGTTGGGGGAGAATTACTAAAAACAGAAGCTGACAGGATCAGATTGAATAGGGAAACCATATTTCAAAACGTGGTCAGGAAAAGATGCTTAGGAACAAAAAGAATGTGTGGAAGGTAGTGCTACCAACTGATAGGAAGATACAGCATAGGAACAGGATGGGCTGGTAGTTGGGAGATGATGAATTTCATTTGGGTCATATTCCATTTGAGAGGTCTATGGAGCATGCAGTGAAAATGTCCAGACAGCAATAAGAAATATAAATCTGAAGCTCAGGAGAAAAATCTTGACCAAAGTTAAAGATCTGGCAGTCATTAGCATAAAAGTGGTTATAAAACCCAAACCATGATATTTTTTAGGAAGAAGTTTAGAGAAAGGCAAGGAGTTGAACAAGGTTGGAACTCCGTGATGTGCCACTCAGAGGAAGTTGCTGGGTGGAGTCTCCAAAGGTAACTAAGAATAAGTGGTCAAAAAAGAACAAGGAGGAAGATGAGGACATGGAGTCCTACACATCAGGCAAGAGCAAATAAGCAGTTGTCTCCAGTACAGCAGAGAAAGTCAGGAAAACAAAAACTGGAAAGCATCTATGGGATTTACTACTTAAGTCCTCAGTGATCTCAACAAGCGCATGTTTAATGGGTTGATCCCAGACAGAATGTATAGGGCAAAATGAGATTGAAAGATAAATAGGAGTTGGTAATGGAGACCATTGTTTAGGTAAACAGTAGCTGAGGTAGCAAGGCAAGAGGTAAATCAAATGCTAGTAGACAAAAAGAAAAGCAAAGGGTATTTTTTAATAGAAAGAAATTTAGAGAATTTGTACACTGGGGGATAGGGAATTAAAGAACATACATTGGCAAGGCAAAATATCTCAGGATATGAGAAAGTACAAAATCAAGGACCTTGGTAGAGGATTGGCTTTGAATAGTAGAAGCCTCCACATCTTCCAAGACTCGTGGGGTTGTGTGTTGTGGACCTAGAGAGATTTATGAGAAGCATTAAATTGAAGGAAATGATACCTGATATTGTTGCATTTCTATATGAAGTAGGAGAGTTTATTTGGGAGTTTGAGAACAAACCTTAATTTAAAGTCAATGTTTAAAATAATTGCTGAAGTTAAAAGGAAAAGTGGCTGATCAGACCAAAGTTGGGGGGTGGGGGGCAGTGTTGTGTGTAGAGCAAGTACAACAGAAACACCGGTATTAAAGGAGAATTGGAGTGGTGGAAAAAGAATCTTTCAGGTAAGCAACTGGTGAATCCAGGATAGAGAAAGAAGGAAATAAAGAGACTGATAGACTAGAAACGAGTAGAAATGTCATCAGCTGCGTGTTGTTATTACGTAAAAGAGGAAGGATAGTTGTATGGTGAGGATGAGAGAGCTGAAGGAAAAGAAAAGTGTACCAGAAACTAGGGTACTAGCAGTGGCTTGTTATACCACAGATTATACCAGCTTGCAAAAGATGATGATTAAATGGCCAGGAATTTAGAAAACTGGTTGTTAAACTATTAGTAGCTTGAAATTGGGTATGAGGAAAGTATTTACACCACACAAATGGGCAAACACCACAAATTGGGGCTTGTTTGTTTTGTTTTTCTCCTGAGGTCTGGTTTACAAACACACTAGATTGATACTTACTTAAGATTTCTGAAGCAAGGCAGTTTTAGGGGTGACAATTTCCAGGTGTGGACCTAAGAATCTGTGGCTAAAGCAAAATGAAGATGAATATCTTTAATTAACTAATGTAGATAACATTTATGTGTGCCTTCTATGACTTGGGTATTTCTCAATTCCATGAATTCATTAACTCACCAGGTGCTTACGACAACATTATGAGGTAAGTGTTACTATTATCCCCATTTTACTAATGAGGAAACTGAGGCAAATCACAATAGGTAACTTGCCCATTATGAAACAGCTGATAAAGCATTCATTCATTTTTTTTGCACAAATATGTGTTCACACACTGTAGAACCCCAGGTACTATTCTGGAGCCTTGAATACAGAAGTGAACAAAACAGAGATAAAAAATCTAGTGGAAGGGAAATAAAGAATTCAGCAAAATATATGGTACATCAGATGGAGAGAAAAAGCAGGAGCAGTGAAGGTGGGAGTGAGATTAGGTTTCAGTATTACATTGA